TAACAGCACACTGAGTAAAACATCTCCAAATGAAAAGGCAAACTTGAGAGGATTAATGCGGACAGTCTTCCCTCTCTTTTTTTTTTTTCCTAAAAACCAAAGGTAGTGGTGGTGAACTCACAGAACTGCAATGTGTTCCTCAGAGAAACGTCTTCTGAACATACTGCTCCCGGCTACCGGGCAGTTCCTGTCTTCAGGGAAATGCAGGCAGACGTGTCCTGGTACCATTGGGAAGAACAGAACCACAATGTGTTCAGGGAAGCTGGCTAGCAGTCACTGGATATTCAGAGAGCGCAGTTTGGAAAAAGCCCTTCAATGCCACTCATGAACAAGCAAAATCAGAAGGCTGTTTTCTATTACATGTTTCTCAGGCTGCTGCCAAAGCAGACAGGGGACGGGAGCGAGTCTGAGTCAAGCAGGGCACAGTGGTGGGTTGTCAGGCTGACAAATGATCTGGGCATGTCAATCTCCCAGTAGAAACTGACACGGGCCGAAACGAATGTGGTACTGAGGGCCTACTGGTATCTTAACCTCCCAGCTTCTTAAAGATATGGACAGTCTTTGCCCGTCTCTTCCCACATAAGACCCTCTAAAACCTGGATCTCCTGAGTGGGGAAAGGATGGAAGGGGACACCAGTGCTGGGGTGGTTTTCAGGAGATCACCTGCTGCTTCTCAGCTGCCTGGCACATGTAGGGACAGGAAACAGCCATCTGGAAGAGCCTGCACAAGGCATCATTTTTAGGAAACATGGCCCTTTCAGAAAGAAACTCCAATATTGTTGCAGATAAAAAAAACGAGGGCTGGAAGAGGTCTCTCCACCTGAGATGCGAGTCAATGAGTGGGCTGTCCCTTTCTATGCTTCAGCTGTCACAGTTCCAATTCATCTTTAAGCGGGAGGGCCAATCTGCTGGGGCAGCACGTGGTCAGAAGAGTGCTGGGTTCTACAGGTCTAACCCGCCCAACACAACAGCTGTGCAGTACCCACCTAACAGCTGACCCCCTTTCTCCTGGTCAATACATCAGTGAATGGGTGCACCTGCTGTCACAGAAGCATTTTGCCCCTACGGGGACTCCTAAGACGTAACTGGAGGCTGGACGTTTTGTGTCTCTTCTGGAGCAGGAGTGCAGGCATTTGTGGGGAAACTACACCCTAAAAATTCCTTTACACCTGGATTCTGTGAAAGAGCTATTATTACCTGAGAATTATTATTTGTGTGGGCATTTAGCTTGAGTATTTCCTAAAAAAGGTACAATCTCAAAGGTTAAAAAAAAAAAATCAGGCTTTTACCATTTGAGCAAGTGCTTGACTTGAGTGAAAGCTAAATAAATGGCATTTAGTTATTTCCTGGTATCTTCATTCCTGATCATCTGGGCTGTTGGTGAGCAGGGAGCCGTGTTTCCAAGCCATCCACCCCTCACTAACGCTCATTATCTGTTCTGGCATATTTACAACAGCAAGGGGGGGACCCACTATGTTCTCACGTTGACATCCATCAGCAGTAACGAAAGCTGCAAGGTGAGGCTAGGGTAAGGCTGGCTGTGATGGTGAAGGTTACGTGTCAAAGTGGTGCAGTAGTTACGGCAGGTATATAACGTTATCACCTGGCAGCTGTGTAACAATGCAACCACCTTATTCTGTGGCCTCATGTCATCATCCTCCCAAATCCACACATCAATTTTTGCCTCACAACCTGGTCTCTGGAACCGAATCGTATCAGTAAGTGAGTCGGTTAGTTAGAATCTCGTTTTGCGGATGTTATTCCTTTCTAAATCTTAAAATCCTCCTCAGAAGTTAAGAACATGCTTGATAGGAGAGCAGTGGGGTTTTCAGAGTTTGGTAGAGCTTCTCAGGATGTCATGGGTTGTGGGTGTGTTAAAAAGATATATGGGGGTGGCTGTTTATTAAACTCTTTAATACTGACAGCCTGTGTTGGTATTTGATATGCCTGAGAGGAGCTTGGAAAAGTATTAAACAAGCCTGAGGCCAGTGTTTTCCAATATTGACTAGGCTTCTCCCTCATTCTGTGAATGTGCTCAAGTGTGTAGGGTGGAGACAGAGCAGAAAATACCAGAGCAGCGCCAACTTCTGTTAACCAGGAGAATGCCAACTTGTCCCAACCCCGCAGTGTACTGACTGTCCAGGGACCTAGGTCACATCTATACCCGCTGTGTCTACCACCCTAAGAGCAAAGAGCAGTCACAGATGCCTTGCAGGTAACCAGCCTCCATGGCACCAAACACACCTGCTGGAAGCGTCTGCGAACTTGTTTCTGGGGCCTGCTCCTAGCTTTATGTTGAGCATGGCTGAGAACGGTTGCAACTGTACATCTGCTGAAGGGGAGCGCTGCCCTGCTGTATCCTGGAAAGATGGCAGCCCCTACCTACACAGGGATCCAACTGAAGGAAGCGAAGCCTGTGGCCATGATGCGTGCAAGTGTTCCAGGACCGCGGGCAGCATCAGGAGGTGAGGAAACAGTGAAGCAACACCACCTTTCCTGGCCCCCCAGGTCCTCCATGACCCTAAGGCACAATTCATGCCAACACTCACTGAAATGACCTTGCATCACCCAGAGGTGGAAAGATTAGGTGGATGAGAGATAGAATTCCAGTGTGCAAGAGGAAAGGGGAGAGAAGGGTCGACCCACATGGGCTCAGCTCTGTGCTGAACCCAGGTGCCACTTCCTCTGCAGGCAGGGATAGAAACCTGAAGGACGAGACAGGATTAGAAGGGCAACCGTCACACTGAGGCCCAAGAAGAGGCCTTGTGACTCCCCCAAAGCAGTGTGCCTGCACCCCTGGGAGTGGCATGCATGTCTGTGGGCAAGTAACCCAGCGTGCCTTGATTTCACCACCAGCAACTTCCTCTTTTCAATACAAGTCTTCCGACACAAAACTAGGACCCGGTGCTAAACACACCCCCAGGTGCTAAAGGGAGAGAGAAAGAATAAGAAGAGAGTTTTCTCTTTCTGAATGTTTGATCTTCTTTTCCTTTCAATTAGGTTTTACACCAGTCACAGGTCCTGGTCCCCCATGTCCCCAACAAATGCATCCCCATGTGCAGTGTGACACCACAACCCGTGGTGGGGGATGGTCAAGGGAAAGGGTCCCTTAAGGACCCGGTTACGTCTCCCCTCTTGGTAAGGCACCAGCAGAAAAGCTACAACTTTTCTTCCAAAGTGTCCCTTGTCATGAATGTTGAAATGTGTCTTGGGTCCTGTGATAAACTATTTTGAAGAGTCCAACATTAGCTATGCCCACTGGTCTCTCTGGGGCCTGCAGAAATTCAGGGATATGGAAGGGTGGAGTGGCCAAAGGAGCAGGCAATCCCTAAGAACACAGGATGGGATGTGGTGCACCACTGTGAGGTTCCTGTCAGAGACGGCTCCCCCTGGCCCATGGGGACCAGCTGTGGCCTCAGGGTGTATGAGTTCTACCGCCCAGACAGGTTGGCAGGCCTGTCCCAGGGACACCTCATACAGAATTCTCCAGAAGCTGCCTTTACCTGCCTGTCTCTTGTGAACATGTGAGTTAGCTGTGCCTACAGATGGTCCCTGGTAGAGTAAGAATTTTGTTTCACAGGAGCTAAAAGTTGCAGGATCTCATTTATTAGGGTTTGGTTGGGTGTTTTTTTTAAAAAAAAATCTTGATAAAAATATTCAGCGAGACAAGCTTCTACATCTAGCTGAGAGGACATTTGTGGGCAGAGCTTGGGGCTAGGCTCCTGGGTGGAAGACACATCATCAAAGAACATCAAAATCATTTTCAGACGAAGCTTTAGCCGCTAACTTTGCAACTACATCTGGGTCAAACCTTTACATTTTTCCTTTATGGCTTTGCCCTTCCTAAAAGTGTGTAATGAACTGTGAATGTTAATTTCTACTCATGGAAGTTATACACTTAATTTCTATACTTTTTTTTTAAAAAAATTCAAAATAATTTCTTTAAATTTACAAAATATTATTGGGGCCCATTATTACAGGTACTCAGTTCCTCTCGTGGGTTCTGGCCTACACACGGCTTTGCTGGGATCTGACCGTGCATTACACAACCTGCTCAGGGGAGCAGTGACAGGGGCTGGAGGGGAGGACACACCAGTGCACGGTTCCTAATGGCATCTTTGGCTATAAAATAACACACTATACGTGACCCTACTCTAAATCTCATTATCTAGAGTATGTAATGTTTTTTCAAGAAACACTGTAACAGTGGATTAGTTTGAAACACCATTCACCCAGGAATAAATTCAACAAATCATTTCTATCAATGAAAATGTACAAAACATGCCATGTACAGGAAAACAGAGCTGTGCATATTCTTGAGAAGTAATAAAATTTGGTTTCGTTTCAAAGTGCTCACTGAGTGAAATCATCTAGTGACTGCATGAATTCAGTGATACGGATTTCTTAATTTTCAGGGTTTTTTTTAAAAAAAAAAAAGCGTGTATGAAATGCGTGGTTAAAACTATAGCTATAATTACCTTCCCTGTAAAACTGCAGGTTCACAATGTTGGCAGAAGGCAGTGCTGGCAAAGTATTTAATGTACGTGGAAATGCTATTCTACTTTGGATTCTAGAAATAGCCCTAATAGCGTCTATGAACCAATGCATTGGCTAATAATGATCATTTCCATTTTAGGAGAAATTATTCTAAACCTCACTGAAGTACTTAAGAATTAGCACTCGTCTCTTTCTAGAAGCTAAGGCAGCTGGCACACAAAGCATTTCAAATGGACTTTCAACTACTTCAGCAGTTCAGTCTGTCCTCCCTAGGCTCTAAGGATTGTCCACCTACGTACTTCATGTACAGCTCCCCGTCCTGGGAATTTGGCATGCTTATTTCTGCCTAGTGATAGGTACCCCCAGTTAGAGAAATATGACCTCCAAAGGTGAGTCCCTGGAGCAACACTGGTTCTAAGATCCCGCATCATGGAAGATGCAGAAGGTTCCCTTGTGCTGCCAACTCCTAGGGGGCCGTGTCTCCAAAGTGCCCTACTGTCAGTTTTCATTCACACCATGTTTCAATCTCACTCACCTGATGAGCCTTCTTGTAATTTGCTCTTTGTGTTTCTCAACTTGTCACTGAACACACAGTGCAAACAAAGGCAAAGACTGGAGCAATCATGTCAACAAGAAGAGCTCACACTACAAACACACATGAGCATCAAATAGTAAAAGAGGAGCTTTTTCTCTTGTTTTTTTATTCTGGGGAGGAGGAATCCTCTTCATCCTCTTCGTCATCCTCATCATTGAAAGAGCAGGGGGTCTCACCTCGGGAGTCGGAGCAGTGGGACGCTACGCTGCTGGACTGGTGACTATTGGGGGCCAGGAACTGCCCGGTTGCTAAGGCCACTTCAGCATCCAAGCACAACCCTTGGTTTACACTGGCAAACAATTAAAAACACAGATTCATTAATGTGGCATATGGTTGAAGTACTGCAGAGCAGGGATGTAGTGGTGTTGGCACGATCAGCCAGGAACCCAGGCAGCGGTGGGGTGGCACTGGCTTCCCCCCTCAGACAGGACCACAGCTTTGTGGCTTTCCTGCGAACCTTGCAGACATACATACCTTGATGGGCATAAGGTGGCACCAGTGGTCAGCTCGAAATTTGAAACTGATTGGGTAGAGTTGAAAAGGAGTCCCTGATTTAACCAAGAAGGTCCTGTGGAGATATCTGAAAGGAAGAAACAGAAAGGAAAATGTGTGTTTTGTAAGTACAGAGAATGGTCTTTTTACCATTTAAAGAAATCACAGAGATGGTATTGATAAGCCAGGGGACAACCCAGGCCTTTCATCTGCTTAGGAGAAAAACCCCCAATCAAAACAATCCTTAAGATTTTATGTGCAGGAAGGGGGAAAGGGGCAAGAGGCCATTTTCTTACAAAGAGAGGGCAAACATTTACATAAAAACTATCTTTTTCTTCTTAAATAAGACCTGTGGAAAGCAAGCCCAGAGCCCTGCTTATAGGGTCCAATGCCCACGGAACATCCGCTGGCTTTATCATGCAAGACTGTATTAGTACAGTCACAGTTAAAGCCAGGACAGGGTGAAGACGGACAGCCCAATACACTGTTGCCTGTATCTGCACTGCTGTTCAGCCAAGGGGCTTTTCTAGTACCAGTGGGTGAACTCAATGCTATTACTTGTAAACTTATCTATTATTCTCTTCTCTGACACATTTTCCAAACGAGCTGTTAGTTTACTCTATTTATTATTTTGTTGTTGTGTTGTATGCTACAGAATCAGAACCAATGCCCCACTGACCCTTCAGAGGGTTTTCAGAGGCAGTTGACTACCCAAGAGGAAACTGCTCCTCCTTCCCTGTGGAGCAGCTGGTGACTTAGAACTGTGTGCCTTTGGAATAATAGCACAGCTTCTTACCACTGGGCCACCAGAGCTCTATTTATTATTTTAGAAAAGAATTCATTGTTATTAAACACTGGCACAAGACAAATACCAATTGAACAGTCTCTACAATTTCCACCCTGTGACACCGACGATATTCAAGTGTATAATCATTCTCACTCCCCTTCCCAAATTGACCCACCACTGTTAACATAAACTCCTGCTTTGTTAGCTTCTATCTAGCCGTTCAAGATGCTGCCTGTCAATTGGATGCTGTGTCGATAATTCTTTCCAAAGAGCACAATATTTAAAAAAAAATCCAAACAAAACAAACCGGTCCTTCTTTTAAATCAGGTTTCTAGGGGAGAGTGATAAAGATATTGCTAGAAACAGCCACACTTTAGTGGCCATGAATTATGTTCGCTCTGGTTTTGCAATATTCTTTTCTAGGTATATGCCATGTGTTCTGATCACAGTACTCATCAAGTTTTTAGTGTAATTACTTGTTTATCATTTCTGTCTCCATCTAGAACATTAACTCACAGAAGCAGTGCCTGGGACATCCCAAGTTCAAAATCAAGGGTACTTGGCCAACAGGGTTAGTCTCTTTCAAGAGCTGATAAAACAGGTAGTCAATGTTCACATGAGAAATACAACTGTGAAAAGAAATTTCTTGGACTTAAGCTGTGAATGAAAGCCAAATGTACACTCTGAAAATGTAATTTACCAAAAGGAAGTTCTTACTTAATTTAGTAAAAATATTTTTAATAATTAACTGTGTAAAAAAAGCTAACAATATTGGCATATGCTCCCATCTTGTCCTAGGCCAGTCGAACCAAGCGAGGAGGTAATCTCACATAGGAGGGGATAAATAGACAAACAACCCCAAATAATGAAATGATCACACTAATTTTAGAATGACCATATGAAGCTCTTTCTTCACAAGCTACATGGGCAGTTGTTTTCTGGATTGGCGTTCTTTTAAAAGAAAGACTTCTATTCTAAAAACAATAACTCACTGATCAAATTCACCACATCTGAATCAATTCCAACTCGTGGTGACCCAGCAGGACACAGAACTGCTCCTACAGAGTCTCTAAAGCTGTGCATCTTTACAACGGCAGACTGCCTCACCCCTCTCCTTCAGAGGAGCTGGTGCCTTCAAATCCCCAGGTTAGCATTCCACTGCTTCACCACCGTGCCACCAAAAGAATAACAGGAATTAAGTACATTCAATAAGAACAAATCTGTGTAAGATCAAAGGCAAAGTCAGAATCTTGTGCTGAATTAAACTCTGGAGACTCTGGGAAAAATAGCAGTTTGTTTGTGAGCCTAACACATTCTTCTTGCTTTTACAGTGGCTTTGAAAAGCCTCCAGTTGAGTCGCATTACTGTGTAGGATCCACACAATGGTTCTCACCCTCCTGTCCTGGAGCTATTCTGTCCCTTCACACAATAAAGACATGTTTCTTCCTTTGAACTAATGAGAAAGTCTATATCCCAGTCAAAAAATGAGGTCACGCAGAGATCAAAACCACAGAGCCTATGTGCCCTCAGTCATTTTACAGAGATTAAATGAAGATCAAGTTCTGGTGCTGAGCTTTCATTCTGACTCTGCTGGACTCTAGGGTGGTGGGGCTGCTAAGACAACAAGGAGGAGAATGTGTGGGGCAGACAGCAGCATGGAGACACAGGAGGGGGCCAGACAAGCAAGGGTGGCACCATAAGGCCAATGGTGCCAATGGAGGGACTAGACTACACAGAAGCCACATCTCAGTCAAGAGATTCTTCTGTGGTCACAAAAGGAACAAATTATAAAACAAAACCCAAACTAACACCACTTCTGATTAAAATACTGGAATAGAGGGTGAAAAGTGAAAAGGATACGTAAAATACCAAGTCAATATCATTGTCAATGGAGACAGATAAAGATATTCCCCTTTGTGAACAGGGACGCTCACTTTCACCACCCCTATTCAACATTGTACTGAAAGTTCTAGCTTGGTCAATAAAGCCAAGGGAAGGAAATCAGAGGCACCCAAAATGGCAAAGATGTGGTGGAACTGTGTCTGTATGCAGATGATATGAGAGTGTACACAGAAAATCCCAAAGACTCAGCCAAAAAAAACTATTAGAATAATTCAGTAGAACGTCAGGTTACAAGATCAATATTAAAAAAAAAAAAAATCAGTTGGATTTCTCGACAATAACAAAGGAGAATTAGAAACTAGAAAAACCATTTATGACAGCCAACCACAAGATGAAATGCCTATGAACAAACCTACCTAGAGACAGAAAGATCTTTATAAAGAAAATCACAAAACACTACTACAAGGATCAATAAGAGACCTAACAAGTGGGGAAAACATTTCCTGTTCATAGGAAGACTGAACACTGAGAGAACGACAAGGAAATAGGAAAGGCAATATCCAGGCTCATTTGGAAAGAAAAGAGACTCAGGGAGAGCAAAGCAATTCTCAAAACAAAAGTGAAGTAGAAAGCATCTTACCCTGATCTCAAAACCTACTATCCAGCTACAGTAATCCAAACAGCATGGTACTGCACAACGACAGGTAAGTGAATCGAAAACCTAAATATCAATCCATCTATCGATACTCAGCTGATACCCGACAAGGAAACAAAACCCACTGAATGGGGAAACGACAGCCTCTTTAGCAAATGGTGGTGGCAAAATGAGACATCTACCAGCAGAAAACTGAAACATGGTCCATATCCCACACCACACATAAAAACCAACTCAAAGTAGATCAGAGGCCTAGAGGTAAAGTTCAAACTATAAAGACTGGAGCTCTGGTGGCCCTGTGGCAAGAAGCTGTGCTGCAATCCCAAAGTCTCACTGTTCAAATCCACCAGATGCTTCGCTGGAGAAGGAGGGGCAATCTCCTCTGACTCGACAGTAAAAACCAAATAAAAAACCTCCAAAGCCCACAAAAATCTAATCCTATAAAGATCATATGAGACAAAATTGGGGACAAATTTAGAAACCCTAGCTTATGGTATAAACAGGCAGCCAAAAATGCGTAACCAGGAGAGGATAAAATTGATGAATGGGACCTTCTTTAATAGAGTGAAAAGAAAGTTCACATATTTGGAAAAAACATTTGGCAAGGTGATTTCAGTCAAGGGTGTCATAACTAGTATTTACAGAATACTACAGGAAAAAGACCCATACCCAAATCACAGAAGGGGCAAAAGATAGGAAAAGACACTTCACACAGGGAAACATTCAGATGGCTAACGAACACATGAAAAACGTTCAAAATTCCCAGCAATCAGAAAGATACAAATTGGAACAACTACGAGATAACCATCTCATTCCAGCAGCAGTAGCAAAGTTTAGCAACACAGCAAACAATAAAGGTTGGAGAGAATGTGTAGAGATTGGAACTCTTATGCACTGTTGGAAGGATTATAAATTGTATACAATTGTTCTGGAAGGCAGTTTGGGATGTCTTTAAAAAGTTGAACGCAGAAATCCGGTATGACACACTTACTACACTGCTAAGAAGATATTCCAAAGAAATCACAATTGAGACTTGGGTGGAGATATGCTCATGTATACCTACGTTCATAGCATCTATGTGCACAATCACAAGAAAATGAAAACAGCCCAAAAGCCCATCAACAAACAAATGGACTGAGAAATTGTGGTATATGGAATACAATGGAACACTAGGCAGCAATGACTTTATAAAATATTATATAACAATGGGAGAGACTGGAGAGCATTATGCTGAGTGAAATAACTCAGTCACATAAGGACAAATAAACATAGGCTTCTATTGTGACAACAGGAAGGTAATCGAGCCAGCTATGTATAAATGTCCAAAAGGAGACTGGGAAGGGGAGAAGGAGGAGGCAGAAAAATCATTAGGATAGCAAAGGTCAGTGGGCGGAGGAGGATGGTGAAGGCATAGGAAAAATTCCATGAGAACTTAAAAAGAAGGGAAGGTAACAGGCATAGATCAACGGTAATTATAGAAAACACACTGTATATGAGAGACTGTAAGCAAATAAATATAAAAAAAGAGGTGATGTCAAATTCTAGGTGCTGATACCCATGAAGGGAAGAAAAACAAATATAAAAGCATTATTCATTGTTGTTGTTATGTGCCATCGAGTTGCCTGTGACTCATAGTGACCCTATGTACAACACCTCTAAACCCTGCTCTATCATGTGCTAAGCATATTGTCTCTGATAAACACAATCCCATTACCCCACTCAAACAAAGTCAATAATTTCATCCAGGGTTTTCCTCCCCTGCGCTGTCACTCCACCCTCCCAAGCGTGACGTCCCTCTCCAATGACTGGTCGCTCCTTGCAACATGCCCAACGTATGTTAGTAAGAGCTTCAAAATCCTTTCCTTCAAGGAGCATCACTCTCTCTAGGACGAACCTGTTCTAGCAGGCCATGGTATATTCAGTACTCTTCTCCAGCACCATAACTCAAAGGCATCAATTCTTTTTCTATCGTTCCATAGTTATTGTCCAGCTCTCTGATGTATAGCAAGTAATTGTAAAGACCATGGATCAGATGCATCTTAGTCTCTACAATGGCACCATCTTCAGTTCTCTGGAGCAGTTCCTGACTGCAGATTTTCCCAATGTAATTTGTCTGTTGATTTGCTGACTGGTGGTATCAAGAGTATTGACTGTGGAGCCAAGTAAGCTGAAGCTGTGAACAATGTCAATCTCTTCACCACCTATGATGATGCTGCCAGCTGGCCCAGTGGTGAGAATCTTTGTTTTCTTGATGTTGAGCTTCAATTAATATTAAAGGTTGAAATTTTTGACCTTCTGCAGAAAATGCCTCAATTTAGCTTCTTTTTGCCCAGCACACAGATCGAGTAAGTATGGAGAAAGAATATAAACCTGATGCACTGTTTCCTTGATATTAAACTATGCAGGGTTCCCTTATTCTGTTTAGATAAATTCTTTTGGGTCTATACACTAGTTTCACATAAGCACAATTAAGAGTTCTGGGATTCTCATTCTTCACAATGTTATCCATAATTTATTGTGATCCACACAGTAAAATGCCTTTGCATAGTTAATGAAATACAAGTAAACATCTTTCTGGTATTGTTTTCAGACAATATCCATCTGATATAGCAACAAAATTCCTTGCTATGATTTTTTTCTGAATCCGCTTAAGCACTTGGAAAGTATACTAGTTCAGCTGGTTTTGGATAACCTTAATCAAGATTTTACTTATATGTGATAGATATTATTTACAATTTCCACATTCCACTGAATCAACACGGATCTTTCAGCCAGTTTGGTCAGGCGGCTTCCTTCCACATTTGCTGTCAGAAACTGGTGAGCACATCTAGGGTTTCATTTATTTCTCGAAAGAACTCAATTCACTGGGGCCTTATTTTTTTGCCAATGCACTCACTGCAGCTTGGAAATCTTCCTTTAGTACCATTGGTTCTCAATTACATGCTACTTCCTGAAATGGTTCTGTGTCACGCAATTATTTTTTGGTACAGTGACTCTGTATATTCCTTCTTCCTTCTTTTGGTGCTTCCTGCATCATTCAGGATTTTGCCTTTCGAATCTAATCTCTGAGTAATGCAACTTGAGGCTTGAATTTTCTTTCAGTTCAACCTGAGAAGGACTAACACCTTTTGGTTTCTAACTCTAGCTCCTGGCACATTTCTTTATTTATACTTTGCTCTTTTTCGAGCTGCTCTTTGAAATCTATCTAGCTCTTGTACCACAGCACTCTCCCTATCTGTTCTGGCTCCTTTTCATTCCAATGTAAGTTTCAGAATCACTTCTGAATGTATTTTGGTCTTTTGTTTTTCTTGTCTTTGTAATAACCTCTTGCTTTCTTCATGGATGATGCCCTTCAGGATTTGTCTGATCTTTGGTCATTAGTATCCAGTGGGTCAAAACTATTCTTTAAGATGGTTTTGAACTGAGTTAGGATCCATTTAAGGCCGTATTTTGGTTCTTGTAGATTTCTTAAATTTTCTTCAACTTTAGGTTGAATTTGCATTTGAGTAACTGATGGTTTCTTCCACAACAGCCCCTGGTCTGGTCTGGTCTGGTCTTGACTTATGGTATTGAGCTTCCCTAATGTCTCTTTCCACAGATGGAGTTATCTGATTCCTGCGGAGTCAATGTATAATGGTTTGAGTTTTTTCCTTGTTGTGTACCATCGAGTCAGATCCAACTGGCACAGAAGGAGACTGCCCCTCCTTCTCCAGCAGAACATCTGGTGGATTTGAACCACGTGCCTTTGGGATTACAGTGAAGCTTCTTGCCACTAGAGCTCCTTTGTATAATTTTTTTAAAAAAAATATTTACAGAGAGCTTGCCTAGTGGCAAGAAGCTACACTGCAATCCCAGAAGTGTGCAGTTCAAATCCACCAGATGCTTTGCTGGAGAAGGAGGAACAATCTCCTCCTGTACCAGTTAGATCTAATTTGATGTAGGCAAGAAGCTACACGGCAATCCCAGAAGTGTGCAGTTCAAATCCACCAGATGCTTTGCTGGAGAAGGAGGAACAATCTCCTCCTGTACCAGTTAGATCTAATTTGATGGCACACACACACACAAATGATAAAATTAAAAAAATAACAAAATTTTAAAAAAAGTATTTGCAATGAATAAATCATACTTTATAAAATCCTACCATGTGATCTACAGTCTCATTTTTGCCACCAAAGTTGTATTTTCCAACTACCAATCCTTATTGTTTCCAATTTTTGCCTTCCAGCCAACTATTATTATCAACGCATCTTGACTGCACGTTTGATCAAACCAGACTGCAAGAGTTGGTAGAAATCCTCAATTTCTTCATCTCTAGCTTTTGTGAATGGTGCATAGAGCTGAATAATGGTTGTACTGACTGAACTTTCTTTCATTAGGAACGAACCATGACTAACCTTTCTTGTATGTGAATGGATAGTATCGCATCCCTCACAGCCTTGTATGTCAGGCTAGATCTAGGAAAGGCTGTTTGATGATGAACACCATATCATTCCTCTTCAATTTGTCATATCCAATACTATCCATCTCAGCTCACATACCAATGTCTAGGATGTTGATCTTTATGAGTCCCATTGCATTTTTTTTATAACTTGCAATTTTCCAAAATTCACACTTTGTACGTCTTATGCTCCAGTTATTACTGGATGAGTGCAGCTGTTTCTCTTCATTGTGGGTCCTGACACATGAGTGAATGACGGTCCTTCACTGGCTGAAAGCTCTACTTCCTCTGCATCACTGCAGTGTGTTTCACCTTGAGGAGGAAGCTCTGGTGACCTGTGGTAAGAAGCTATAACCCCAAAGGCAGTAGTTTGACTCCACCAGCTCCTCCATGGGAGATGGACAGGTACCCTCCTCTCCTGCGCTTCACTACCTCTGAAACCCACTGGCGAGTCGGTTTTCACGCAAGGGTACACAATAACAACTATCTTGAGGAGGCAGCTCTCACCCAGCTGCACTGAGGGTGTCTTCCAACCCAAGGGGCTCATCTGTTGACACTATATCCCATAATGGTTTTCCATTGTCTGTAGAATTTTCAAAGACCTATTACTTCAGAAATGGCCAAAAACGGAGGCAAAAAAGATTCCAACATCCAGCAACCAACAAGCCACACTACACTATAACAAACTGACAGACAATATGAGTTGTTATGTGCTATTGCAACGCCTGCAAATCACAGCAACGTATGCTCCAAAACTCTGATTTCTGTTCTATCCTGCACTAATAGTATAAGCTTTAAAAAAAATTGAAGTCTACTGTTAGGCTATAAGTTGAGTTACAGGATTAAGTTTTGCTCCAGGATCAAAGAGTGAATAAGGGTCATTGGCTTTGGGAAACACTTAATCCTTAGAATAACCAACCATAGGTGGTCAGAAGAGCAGAATTTTCCCAATGAGGCCTCTTCAAAGTACTGAAGAGCAATGACGTCAGTCTGGAGACTAAGGTGCACGGGACCTAGGCCATACTCTTTGTAATTACTTGCTATGCATCAGAAGATTGGACAATAACTAGGGATGATAGAAGGAGAACTGATGCCTTTGAGCTGCAGTGCTTGAGAAGAGTACTGAATACACTGTGAAACAAACAGGTTCATCCTAGAGAGGGTGAAACCAGGCCTCTCCTTGGAGGCAAGTATTCTAAAACTTCGTCTGAAGCTTAAGATAAAGGAGGGACCAGTCTTTGAAGAGGGATGTCATGCTTGGGAAGGTGGAGGGACAGTGAAAGAGAGGAAGACCCTCAATGAGATGGATTGACTCAGTGACTGTGGTAATGCGTATAGGTGTGTCAGAGACAATAAAATTGGCACAGGATAGAATAGGGGTTAGGGCTGTTGTACACAGGGTCATTATGAGTCACAGGTGACTTGACAGGACAAAACAACAACAACAAAGCCCAGAAGGCACCAAGGAGTAGGACAGAGGACTAAAGGAAATTAGATCTATAGGGAGGAAGTAGGAAAAGTATGACTGCATAGTAAGTATTATAAATAATGTAATAAAACAAAATGTCGATGCATTGCACACCCATGTTCATTGGGGCTTTGTTCACAATAGCAAAAAGCTGGAAACAACCTAAGTGCCCATCAACAAACGAATGGATAGTGAAGTTGTGGTATATTCACACAATGGAATACTATGCTGCATTGAAAAACAAGGAACTCATGAAATAGTATACAAAATGGGTGACCCTGGAGGACATTATGCTGAGTGAAATATCTCAGTCACAAAAGGACAAATACTGCATAGTGCCACTGCAGTAAAACAGGACTGACATCAGGGTTGTGGGGAGACTTAGAAAGAGGGGATAAATAATGTATACTGCATTGAAACAGATGAGGGAGAAAACTGTTTAAAAGGGATACATGATTAGGTATTATTGTCATGACAGAAGTCCAAAGCGAAGGCTGAATAGTGGAGTGTACTTGGGGGGAGGATTTTTCTTTTACTCTTTAAAGAGAAGAGCAAACATGGGGGGAGGGATGGGTGGGGAGAAAAGTGCAGCAATGAATGGAAACCCAAAGTCTCTGTAAACTTTCATTAAAATTAATAATGATAAAAAAAATTCTATGCATGAATGGTTAAATGGAACACCAATTTGCTTTGTAAGCTTTCACTCAAATCACCATTTAAACAACATGAAAGATTCTTTCCAGAAGAGAGATTTTAACAAGCTAGGACTTTTTACTTGGCATGGGGGCCCTGTGAGAAAACACTGCTCACCTGTGACATAACCTTCCAGAGCCTTTGGGACCAATGATTTGGCAAGTTTCAGGTCTTCCAGGGAGCACGTGCCTGACTCCAGGCCAAAGGACATTCCCATGCGCTTCAGTACTTCTACATCATCATGGATCTCAAAAGTGTTGTCGAAGTTAAAAAGGTATTCAAACCTGCAGCAAGAAACGAAATGAGGATTGGATTTTAGGTGATACAGAGGTCTAAACAATATTGCACCTTGTCTATGAAATGAGAGAATGAGAATGAGGGCTCAAGTACTGCCAGGTCCGGTATTGTCACCATGCAGAATATGAAGAACCACTCCGGTGTGATCAGGGTAAGGACCTCTCAAATAAACCAACTCTCCCGATTAAAATAACTACGCTGTGACAGATGGTTAGAAAACCAACACCCCTTAAATTCACTGCTGTTGAGCTGGTTCCTACTCCATGCAACTCTCTATTGTGTTTCTAGTAATGGGACAGAGTGTTCATCTTTCTCCCTTATAACTGCTGCTGGAGTCGAACCACAGAAGTGCAGTCTTACCAGACAGTTGTTGTGAGGCACCGTTAAGCACGGCTCATTGTGATCCTATGAACAGCTGACTGGAACCATGCTCTACCCAGTGCCTGACAGTTTTTTGTTGTTGTGTACTGTAGAGTCGGAACTGACCCATAGCTGACCCTCTGGTGGGTTTTCAAAGGCAGTTAATCACATGGGAGGAGAGTGCCCATCCTTCCTCTCATGGTGGACCTGGTGGGATTCGAACCACATGCACTCCGGATAGCAGCACAGCTTCTTGTCACCAGGCCACCAGAGCTCCCTTGCTTGACAGTAGGAGACCATAAACTTTATCTTTTAAGGCTGCTGCAAACAGGAGGCAGATGCTCAGCCTGGTAAAGAAATGTCATTGTTATCAATGTAATACTTTTCAAACCTGTCTACAATTTTGCCATGAAAGACAGAATATGAAGCCTTTTCCAATTCCATTTCAGTTTAATACATGATATTCCTACCAAAATATACACCTTTATCACTTTAGACGTGGTCTGGAGAAAAGTATGGAATTCCATGGACTGTTGAAAGACTGTATCTTGGAGAAAGTGTAATCAAGGTGCCCCCTGGAGGTGAACATGGTAAGACTCTGTCTCATCTACTTTTGGCACGTTGTCAGGAGGGGCGAGTCATTGGAGAAGGACACCTTGCTTGGAAAAATACAGTGTCAGAGTAAAAGAGGAAGACCTTCAAAGAGATGAATTGACACGATGATAGTTTGCTCAAGTATACTGGGGATGGTGAAGATGGCATAAGATAGTGCGAGGTTCAGATCCATTGTCCTCTGGGCCACTACGAGTCACAGTCAACTCAGTGCCATACACCACCACCACTTCATTTACGTGAATCAGAGGTTGGAGCCAGCACAGTGTAGACAAGGAGTAGACGAAACACTTTGAGTTGTGTATCCATGCACAAATGAGTCAATGCCCAAATTGGCAGACTATTGCACCAAATCCGGATGCACAGCTTTCAATAAAGAGGAAAATGAAATATCTGAGCTCTGAGACACCAGATCTCAGGCTGCAGCTACAGAACCTCACGAGAATGCTCTAGGACAATATTGTTTTTAAAAAATCCTCATAGTATTAAAATCATGTACAGATGAAATTCTATGCTAGAGTTTGCTTTTGACTCATGTTGTTGTTAGAGGCTGTCAAGTACAAGCCATAGCAACCCTATTTCAACAGATCTGAGGGAGCTCAGCTGTGCTGTAATCCTGAAGCATCTGTTCAAATCCACCAGATGCTCCACTGGAGACAGAGGGACAATCTTTTCCTGTGCCAGTCGGATCAGATTCAACAGTACACACAAAACCAGAACAAATCAAACAACAGACCTGCCCTACCCTATGCCATATTCACCATCTCTGACACATCTAATCCCCCTGTTGCAGTCACTGTGTAGGTCTTCTTCTCCTTCACGGACCCTCCATCTTTTCAAGGATAATGTCCCTTTCCAACAGCCTCTCCTAACAACATGCCCGAAGTATGTGAGATGAAGCTTCACCATCCTTGCCTTTAAGGAGTCCTCTGGTAACACTTTTCCTAAGACACACCCATTTGTTCTTTTAGCAGTTCACGAGATATTCAGTACCCTTCTCCAATACCACCACTCAAAGGCACTGATCCTTATTCTATTCTTTATATTGAATATATTGTCCAGCTCTCAGATGCATAGCAAATGATGAAAAAGACCATGACTTGAATCAGGTGTACCTTGGTTTTTTAACTGACACCATTACTCTTCATTACTTTGGTGAAGTCCTAGACAGCAGACTTCCCAATGTAATACTGTGGAGTTTATCTTTCACTATGACTTTTCCTAGCCATTGTTTAACTTTGCTATGTAGATGGGCAGGAATATGTGAATGAAGCATGTTAGCCTATCCCAAGGGGACTGGCCTCTGTATCGTTTCACAAGGGGATTGGCCAGCCTCAGTAATATACAAGGGGACTGGCTAGTTTTGCCAAAGTCAAACAGCTCTAGCTGCAGAAAGATCTTCTTGTGCCACTGAACAAGCAGCAAGAGAATTTAAGACTGTCTTCCCTCCATGTACACTTATAGCAGCAAACCTACGGCTGAACTAGAGACCTGATGTCCTTGGAGATGGGACCTTACAGGGGGAAAGGCCTAACTGGCAGGGCTGAAAACTGGAGAACAGTGCTGTGAGGCTTGAGGCTGAGGTGCCTGTGTGCACATTTTGGGAGGCACCTTGACTGTATACTGTTACTAATCTGGATTATAACCTTTTGACCTCTCTAATATGGTTCTGAGTAGTCTGTGAGCTATTATTGCATCAGATTTTGAACTCAGCAAAGCAGTAAGATTAGTGTTGAGATGAGTAGAAAGAGGTATGGAATTGTCAAGGTCATCTCTGACCTCACTAAAAAACTGGTTTTGTGTTAATGATATTGTTGATGGGGACATTTCCCCTTTGTGAAATCAGTAAAGGTCAGATACAGCTATCATCACAAGGACCCTTTTTTTATAGCTGGTGTCAAATGCAAATGAAAGGTTGTATAAAACACAATGTATATGAATGAAACATAATGTAAAGGAATTATCAGATGAAAACCAATAAAAAGAAACATAAAAAAGCAAGTCTGATGTGATGGCTCTTAGGGGTTTGGGAAATGCAGTTAAAATGGCTACTTTCAAACCTATTAAACTGGAAAGAAAAGCAGCTTTTGGCCTGAGACAAGGATACAATCCCCAGGCCATATATACATGTGTGGGTTAAAACAGTGGTCTTTGATTTTCTACAGCAAGTGCTTCAAGTCCCCTTCAGATTCAGAAAATAAGGTTGTGTCATGTGCATAAAACAGGTTGCAGCCCATAATGCCACAAGGGTTTCTTAAGTGAAGACTTTGATTCTTGTTGAATTTTTTTATGTGTCAATCACTTAAAATTTCTTTGCTTAAGTCTACTTAAAACTCAATCATTAGCATTCTGTATTATACTCAAAGAAAATGAATAAAAAATTATTGGTAGACTGAGTTGGCCAAATTTCTTTTGATTATTTTAACTGCTTATATTGATTAATGAAAACAAAAACAAAATGGAAAACAAGCATGTATGATTGTGAGAAAACTTAATATTCTTTACATTGGTTAGACGTATCAAGTCAAAAGGTTTTTTACTGATTAAAAACACAACTTTAATTGTACAGAATATTTAAAATGTGAAAGAAACACATTAAAATCTATTTGACTCATGTTTATTAAATAATTATCTTTTATAATGAAAAGAAACCAACTTTTGATAAAAACAAAACAATAAAACAGGTTGCTGATGAGTCTTCCTTCGATCCAGATGCCACATTCTTCTTCAGAGTTCACCTTCTTGAGTGATTTGCTCAGCATAGGTATAGAGAAAAGTTACAACTGTAATACACATTTTTCTTTATTTTGCCTTGTTCTCTCTGTTCGACAACAGCTTCATGGTCTAGGTCTAGGTTATAGGTTTCACGTGAGCATACTTAAGTGTTCTGCGATTCCCTTTCTTCACAATGTTAGCCATAATTTGTTATGATTCACAAAGACAAATGCTTATGCACAGTCAATAAAATACAAATAGACATACTTCTGGAATTTTCTGCTTTCAGCCAGGATCGATCTAAACTCAGTCTGAACTTCGGGTTGTTCTTGGTCAATGTCTGTTCTCACCATTTTGGATGATCTTTAGCAATATTTTGCTTGCATGTGACATTAATGACAATGTTTGACAATTTCCACATTCTGTTGGATCACCTTTCCTGGAAATGGGAACAAATATGGATCTCTTCCAGTAACTTGGCCAGGAAGCTATTTTCTAAATCTCCTTGCACAGACTGGTGAGCATATCCAAGGCAGCATTTGTTATTTGGAACATGTAATTGATTTCTGGGGCCTTAATTTTTGCCAGTGTCTTCAGTGCCGCTTGAACATCTTCTTTCATTACCAGTGTCTCTTGATCATATTCTACTTCCTGAATATTTCCGTGTCAACCAATTCTGTGACTCTGTATCCCTTAGTCTTCTTCTGATATTAGCTGAGAGTCTGTGACAGAGTAGACCTGCCCCACTGGGGCTCCCTAGCTGTAATCTTTATGGGAACACAACACCACGTCTTTTCTACCCTGGAGCCACTGGTGAATTCAAACTATCACCCCTTCCGTTAGTAGTCAAGTGCTAACCACTGTGCCACCAGCATTACATATGTTATATTTTAGATGACAGCAACTTATAATTTTAAGCTAAATGCTATTTTTAGATTATTAACCACAGTATATAAATTTTTTAAAAGTATACTAAAATTTCAACAATGGTAAGAATGGCAAGGAAAAGAAGCTTCATGCCTATTAAAGCTTACATTTTAATGGGAGAACATGAAAATGGTGGTTTTAAATAGTGATAGACATGGAGAAGGAAGAAAAAAAGACCTGTTTTGCAGGGGACATCAAACAGGTATTTGAACTGACCTGTTTGAGGAACACTCTTTGAATTAAGGCCAACTTTGCCAAGATCCAAAGGAGAAGCATTCTAGAATGAAGGCAGGTGAGGGCAATGTCTCTTTGGTGGAAGCCAGTGTACAGTGGGGAATGAGGAGAGGACATTTGAGAGGAAGGCAGAGGCCACGGTACATGCATCTTGCAGGCCAAAGGAGAAAGATCTAGTACTCTGTGGAGGCTGTTCTAAGAATCCTGGTGGCTCCACCAGATGCTCTGCTGGAGAAGGAAGGACAATCTCCTCCTGTACCAGTCAGATCTGATTTGATGGTACTCACACACACACACAAATAATAATAAAATAAAAAAAATCTTGGTGGCATAGTACCCTATTTGTCAGACTGCAAATTAAAAGGTCAGCAATTTGCAAGGGTCAAGAACTTTTGTTCATAGGGTCTCTATGAGTTGCCTACGACTCAACGAAACTTAACAACAGAGAGAGAGATCAGTTGGCCCAGTGGACCGGAAGTGATGCTACCGCCAAGGTGGGTGACTCTAATCTGTGGCCCTCAGGCCAGTTCTTACTTGTTTTGGGTCAAACATTCTTGTAGGTCATATATCCCTGGTGTGTCCACTAGCTATACAGAGGTAACCTGTGGTTTCTGTGAAGCTGAACATGGTGACACTGATGTGTCAAATGCGATAATGGTTACCCATGGCAGACAGTATTTGGTGGAGCTTCCCGATTAAAACAAGCTTGGAAGCAGGAGTGGCATCCACTTCCATAAACAGCTTGCCTCCATAAACCCTATGAACCTGGAGATAGGATGAAAGTCACACAAGTGTTGAGGACTTTCGCTCACAGGGTCGCTATGAGTTGCCTACGACTCGGCGGCACTTAACAGCAGCAACATACTAAAATTTCTTCAGAGGGGAAATAAAATCTGAAGTAAATGCCTTTTGCAGGGATGGTTCCAGGTATATATGAAAAGAAACAAGGTTGTTTAAGCCCACCCAGGGACACACACACAAAAAAGCAAAGCAAGGAGGTTTTGAATACATAATCCTCATTGTGGAGAAGCCCCCAGCCAACTGAGGAGAGAAGAATGTTTCAACAACATGTCTTACAGAGAGAGGGTAAAGTACCTTGAGTAATAGAAGCCTTCTCAAAACTGCTCAAGGACTCCTTCCCTCTATTCTCAGGAGGTCCAGGAAAGGGCACGAGCCAGTAACCAACTAGGGACAGAACTTTACTCAATCTAAACCTGGGTGGGTAAGATTCATATTTCCCTTAAAACAATGGTTCCTTTGACTGTAATGCTACCACTTTAAAATGAAGAGTAACCTAAGGAGAGAATTTAATGGCTCCCCACAGACCATGTGATTAACTGAAAACCAATGGAGGGTCAGCTGGTTGGTTTCAACTAGAATGGTGCACAACAGCAACACGAACAACAGAGTAAGTAACCAGAATTCTAATAGGTTTCCTCCTCTTCTTGAAAATATCCTACCCATTCTCTACCATTTGTAACAGTTTCCAGTTTGATTTTGTACTTCACCTGCCCCAGACTTTGTTAACATCTTTGTAGACAGTGAAGACTGTGAAGAATTTAAGTATATGAATAATACTGACCAAGGATATGGGTTCTTGGCAGATTTATCCACAAAGTTTCTCAATCTGCAAGACAAATACTACAATTTTTATTTTTATGGAGGAAAAAGCATGAAGTCATGGAGAGGTTGAAATCTGGATGATGTTAAGTACCAGAGTCAGAACTGACTGACAGCTGATACTCTATCAAGTTTTCAGAGGCAGTAAATTGTATGAGTCTCAAAGGGCAGCTGGTAGCTGGTGGATTCCAACTGTTTCACCAGAGCTAAAGGAAAGATGGAAAAAACTCTCAGCTCACTTCACAGTCGGACAATCTATTTTCCCTCTATCTGCAGTATATCGATGATTAAAGTCTTTTAATTTCTGAAATTTCTGCTCATTGTTTTTCTTTGTGTGTGCCTTATTTACCAGACCAAGGATTTCTGTAGGTAAAAGAGACAGATAAGGGACTCACACTGTCAGAGAAAGGAGTGTGTGTGTGGGGGGGGAATGGAGTGGCAAATCTGAAGGGCAATGATGCAACTCTAATGAGACCAGACAAGTCCTGTTCTCCCTGGGACCATCCTGGGTGTGACTATTAACTTAATGTCATCATCAGTGCTTTCAAAAGTATCTTAACTTGGATGACAGATTATATGGCGATCTCTGCCACAACAGTTAACACTTGTTCTTTTTCTAAAATTTTATTATTATTATTATTATTTTGTGTGTGTGTACCATCAAATCAGATCTGACTGGTACAGGAGGAGACTGTCCCTCCTTCTCCAGCAGTGCAACTGCTGGATTCGAACAACAGTTAAAACTTCCAAAGCATTTGTGTTGTTTCAGATGTTTTGTAGGCATTATCTCATTTAACAAAGCTGGGATGTGATAGTGGCTCTAGCATCCCCTTCTGTTCCTGAGAAAATAGAGCATGATGGGAGCGGGGAAAGGCTCATCTGACCTGCCACCCTCTATACTCCATGCTTTTAGAACGTAACTGGAAATTCCCTGGTCGCAGCCCACTGCTGTAAAAGCTTTCCTGAAGAGAAGTACACTCTGTATTTTGAAAAATAGTATTTCTCATTTGCTCTTAGCCTGGTCTTCTCCTATGCCCTCCTCCTAATGTTTTACTCACTTGTCACTGGAAATGCTGCAATCGATGACGGTTTTCCTGCTTGTACTGACAATGATAAAGGGCAGCTGAATGGTGGAGTTCTGAGCTGGGGGGCCCTGGTTCTCCAGCTCGTTTTGCCGATTCCTCTGCACCAGGTTTTTGAAAGCTATTTGCTGTAATAAACAACAGGAAGAATATGGCCATTTATTGTTGGATAAGCAAATTGGTATATAAATCAATTAAGACTGATCTCTTTCTAATACGGTTCAAAGTCACAGCATTGAGATGCATCCCTCCTTGTTAAGAAATTAACTGAAGACGTTAATAAACACTTAAGAAAAAAAATGGGGATGCTTCAATTTTTTTCAGTATTTATTTTCTTTTTCAAAGGAAAAAAAAATAGACAATTGTAGGTATACATTAATATGACACACTAAATAGACAAATGGTATGAAGCATCATCTAATGTAAACAATGGGGCCATTATCATCATTCACAGAAAGAGGATCTCAACAATGTGTGGGATCTGAGTGGGTTTTACCTGCAACAAAAGACACTCTAAATGAATTTATGCATGCTATTTATCTAACAGAATTAACGGCACCTTTCACACTGTATATCCCAGTGGTTTGCATAGTTTTTAAAACCACAAGATCTTTCTTCAGGTGAACTCTTAATGGGATTTCCAGGACATAATATCATGGTACCGAAGGAAGCAGCAGTGGCTATAGGAAACTAGAGTGGGTTGAGGGTCTTGGGTAGTAGTTTCTGAGGTACTTCTGTGGAACTGAAATCTTCAGCATCCTTAAACAAACTTGATATGACAGTCTGGAACCCAGTCTATGCTAGACCGCAAAGTGTACCCTACAGAGTCATGTTCCTTCCCAAACCTCTCTTAGTAACATGCCCAAAATATGTGAGCTGAAGCATCGCCATCTTTTGCCTCAAAGAAGCACTCTGGCTGTACTTTCCCCAAGACATATCTGTTTGGTGTGTTGGCAATCAGTGGATCTGATATTCAGTGCTCTTCTCCAACACTATACAGAACTCAAAGGTGTCAATTCTTATCCTGTCATCCTTATTCACTGTCTAGCACTCAGATGCATACTAAGTTACTGAAAAGACCATGGCCTGAAAGAGGTCAAGGTCTTCAAAGTGACATCAATGCTCTTCACTATTTTAGAGAAGTCCCTGCCAGAGGACTCGCCTAATGCAATATGTCTTCTGAACTCCTCGTATCAAAGGTGTTGACTGCAGATCTAAGTCAAATGAAATCACTGACAGCTTCAATCCTTTCTCCACCTATCATGATGGCCCAGTGGTAAGGACCTGTTATCTTGACCTTGAGGGCTGTAGTCAGATCTTTTGCAGCAAGTATTTCAGATCCTCTTCACTTTCAGCAAGCAAGTTTATGTTATCTGCATAATGCAGGTTGTTGATGAGTCTTCATCTGATCCTGATGCCACATTCTTCTTCTTCTTAATATCCAACTTCATGTATGATTTGCTTAGCACAGACTGAACAGGTATGAAGAAAGGATACATCTTTGATGCATACCATTCTTCATTTTAAACCATGCAGTGTTCCCTTGTTCTATTTGGACAATAGCTTCTTGGTCCAAGTACAGGTTTTGTAAGAGCTCAATTAAGTGTTCTGGAGTCCTATTTCTACACAGATTGACAGACTGATTCCTCTGGGTTGAATCTTTTCTAAATATTTGGTTTGAGGAACAGCTGAGGAAGAGAAATTCATAATGTAAAAACACAAATGCAATGGTCATTTTACAAAGAGTCAGTAAGACAGACAAGCAACTTTATTTTCTGTATTGGTACGTAGAGATATCAAAGTCCCACACACATAAGGGTGATCTTTTCAGCACCATTCTTCCTGATAAACAGACACACCAGTAGACAGATTTTTAAAATACCAAAACCCAAAAAGGTATTTCATGAAGGTGTGGAGAAAATCACAGAAGTACTGCCAATAACTGAGCAGTGACAGGACAGCCGAGGTAACAGTTGCCCCTTCCAGCCAGGTCTCTCAGGAGACAGAACTCCACTAGGATATGCACAGGCATATACCGTTAGTCTTCCTTTTTTTTTTTTTAAAAAAAAAAAAAAAAAAACACAGCACTATCTTAAAAAAATTTCTTCTTGGGAAACTCAGTATGAAAAACATACCAGAAGTTCAGGTGGGTCCCACTGGGCTCCGTGGGAGAATGAGAAACACAATACAATCAGAAAATAGCCTCACTGAGATCACGCATCATCTGCAGGACATCCGGTGTTTGGAGAGTAGTCATTTATCTATGATCCTTTTGCCCCGCTTCCTTTCCTACTTCCTACTCTTAAGATCATTCACTGTTCTATGGAACAGCTAAACTGCCTGCTCTTGTCTCAGATTTATGTATGAATGTATAAAAGATACAAGGAGAAGTACTGTCAACAGCTTCCTCTTACTTGGATCCACAATTAAAGGGACTGCACTGTACTGGGAAAATCTGCAGTTAGGGACCTCTCTAAGTAACTGAGGAGTAATGATGCCAGTTGGAGGACTAAGGTGTGCCTTATTCAGGCTATAGTTTTTCTGATCACTTGTTATGCATCTGAGAGCTGGGCAATGAATAAAGATGACAGAAGAATTATTGAAGCCTTTGACTTGTGGTGCTGGAGAAGAGCACTGAATATCCCATGGACCGCCAAAAGAACAAATAGCTATGTCTTGGAGAGGGTGCAGCTGAAGTGCTCTTTGGAGGCAAGAATGATGAGGCTTTGCCTCACATACTTCAAGCATGTTGTCAGGAGGGGCTATTCCTTGGAGAAGGACATGATGTGCGGAAGGGTGGAGGATCGGCCAGGTGAACTGACATGGTGACATGTGCTTTAGTGTGTTATGAAGTGTGAAGATGGCACAGGATATGACAGGGTTCACGATCTGTTGTTCAGAGGGTCGCTATGAGTCATGCTCTCAACTCGACAGCACCTAAAAACAACAACTCCATTAGATAAAGAGAGCACTGAAGAAAAACAGACCTGGTGATATATTTGGTAATTTTCTACTACCTTTATTTCTATTTTTAAAAACTTAATTTAGGGGAAAGCTTATACAGCAAGTTAGGCCCTCCTTTTGCAAATTTTATATAAATTATTCTGCTATAATTATAATACTGCATCAGCATCCTTACTCTTTCCATTCTGTTTGTGGTTTCCATTGATCTAGCTCCTGCATTCCTCCTTATCTTTGCTTCTAGGTAAATGCTGATCATATGACCTTCAAACATTTGGTTGTTTAAAATAGCTGATTATTCTTGGGTGCTGTTTAGTTTAGGAGCCAAATCATTATTTGCCTAAAAGGTACCTTGAAGAAATATCATTCCACAGTCAAAGGTTATCTTAAGCAATAGTCTTGGTTTTTCTTTTAGTCTCTGTTGGTCTAGTTGCTGTCATTCTTATGTGTTGTTGAGCTGACTAAGACTCATAGCCAACCTATGAACAACAGCTCTGAACCTTGCCCTATCCTGAGACAACCTCACCGTTTCTGACACACTTGACCCTACTGTCACAGTTACTTTGTCAAGCCATCTCATCCAGGGTATTCCTCTTTTGTGCTGACCTTCTAACCCTCCAAGTATGGTGTTCATCTCCAAAGACTGGCCCCTCCTAACTACATGACCAAAGTAGGTGAGACAGAGTTTCAAAATCCTTGCCTCCAAGGAGCAACCTGGTTTCACCCTCTCCAGGAGAGACCTGTTTGTTTTCTTGGTAGTCCAAGGGGTGTTCAATACTCTTTTCCAGCTCCAGAGCTCAAAAGTATCAATTCAACTTCTATCATCCTTACTCACTATGCAGCTCTCAGATGCACAGCAAACAACTGAGAAGACCATGGTTTGGAACAAGCATAGCTTAGTCTCTAGACTGACATCATGGCACTTTAGCACTCTGGAGAGCTCCCGGTCAGCAGGATCTCCCAATGCAACTTATCTTTTGATTTCCTGGCTTCTGGTGCCAAGCACATTAAATATGCATCTGTGCAAGATGAAATCATTAACTTCAAATTTTTCTCCAACTCTCCCTATTGGCCCAATGGTGAAGATCTTTGTTTCCTTGATGTTGAGACGCAATCCATATTGAAGACAGCAGTCTTTGATCTTTGGCAGCAAACGCGTTGGGACCTCCTCAATTTCAGTGAGGAAAGCCGTGCCATTTGCATAACACAGGCTGCTGATAAGTCTTCCTCCAATTCTCCCTTTTTAAAATATAATGAGTTTTCTTTATTATTGTTGCTTTGCTTTGTATATTAAGGTCAAGGGCACACAGTGGAATGACACATTGATTTCAACTGTGGAAGCTCAGGAAGGCTTCGTGGCAGAAACAAGATGTGGATGCAGAGAGTAAGATTTACTTAGAAGAGTCAGAACTGAAAGGAAAAGGGAGTTTCAGGCTGAGGATCAGACAAATGATGACAGAGTTCTAACCATGGATGTGCAAGAAATAAGGGACGCACACTGAGGATGCTGCTGGAGAAATCATCTGGAGGCAGACTGAGGAGAGAGTCTTTGGAGTTAAGCTAAGGAGCTTGGACTTTATTCCAGAGGAAAGTGCAATCAAGGTTATTTGTAGAACTTGACAAGCCAGTCTTTACATGTCTGGCCGTGGATATGATGGTTTCTCTTGGGAAGATCACTCTTACATAAAATCTTGAGTCCAGAAGGTTTTCAGAGTATACTGCAAGGGAGCTGACTAGCTATCTCTCTCTCTCTCGTGGAGAAGTTGACGGACTTGAACCCTGCACCTCTTGGTTAGCAATGCAGCTCCTGACGACTAGGCCACCAAAGTTCTAATAGCATTCACTGAAGATTGCTTGAATGTGATATTAATTAATGAGACTACTTGAAAATTTCCACATTCTGTTGGAATTGGTCCAGTGCGTTTTGCCTTTTCTAGGACCCTGATCTTATGTTCTACCTTTTTCTGCCATTTTTTGGTGGAACCTTTTAATGTGTCCCCTGGTCAGAACAGGAGGTGTCAGTGGCTAGGCACTAGCTAGTTCTTCTAATCTCAGTTTAGAAGAAGTTGTGATTTATGTGGGTTAATTAGTTCTGTGAAGTGGTTTCTTCTCTGACCTTTTCTTTCCTTTCTTCCTTTCGCTCCCATGGGTAGAGACTCATAGTTTTATTTAAGGTAGCTGCTTGCAAGCTTTTAAAACTCCAGAAATTTTTCACCAAACTAGGATGATTTAACATCATCTTTGTGAACTATGTTATGCTAACCGACTAAGGTGTTCCCCAAGACCATGGTCCCAAGCCTTTTAAACCTGTAAACCAATCTTAAGAGATTTCTTTAAGTTGAGGAAGATTATTTTTATTTCTGAATAGTTGAGTCACCCCAAAAATTAAACTACACTTCTGTTTACTAAAAACAACTGTGCTTTTTATAACTGGTTATAAAAAGTTTGCACATCAAGGCATTTTTGCTGAGCAAACCAAAAGTAGAAAGCCTTTGGCTCGAGTTTATCTGATGGAACTGAAAATGGCCCAACTGTACTGTTCTTAGTGAATTATTTTTACAACAACTACAAATACCAAAAATAGAAGGAAAAAAGAAGCCAAGTTACCCTGTGATTTTAGCTCACATGATTTCATACAAGGCCTCTATTATACTTTTTTTTTTAAAAAAAGGTCATCCAACCTCTAGGCAGTGATCCAAAAAAGGTGATAAATACACAGATCTTAACATTTATTATAAAAAATTCCTATTAAGTTCTAGTATTTCTTCAGTTCTTACTGAATCATATCAGATTATCATTTACAAATGTATTTACTTACATTTATTGCAAAGGAAATAAGTTATCAGGTGAATTTCATTACACAAAGCACCTAAGTTTTAAATGGTCTTTCTGCTTGATATTCCAAATAAGAGCTAACAAAAACAAAAAAGATTCCTGACAGTTTCCAGTCAGAATTAAGAATCAAGTATAAATGTTACCAGCGGCCTGTTGCATAACGAAAGTCATCCACAGGGCAAGTGCTCTGTGCAGGGCTGAGGGGAACCATCTGAATGGCAGACAAGCCACTTTAGGATGGCCCCCTCAGACACAAGTAGCATGCAGTGGTCTTAAAGCATGGAAGTGCGGAGACAGGATGTAGGCAGAGAAGGTGAAGGAAAACCTCCTTGCATCTTTACCTGCAGGAGAAGTTCTTGCAGCTGGATTCGCTTCTGCTTTATCCGTTCTATTCGCCTCTGCTTCTCTATCTTTAAAAGACAGATTACAAAAAAAATCAGCAGATCTGAAGTGCAAAAGATTGCTGTGTAGGCCCCCAATCTGAGAAAGCAAGAATTTTCCTTAGAGAAACTTAACCCATTTTAACCACCATCATGACCAGCAGGCAAACGGCACCTGGGGAGGGTGAGGAACTAGGTACAACAGTAGAACTGTGCCAACTGTCTGCAGCAGAGAAATGCATCCACACACCAATATGTGCTGTGCAGTATCTGTGGTAGCTTACTGGTGAAATTCTGGCTCTAATCATGGCTACCACTTAGTATCACTGCCTGGGTGCCAGAATGCAAAGCAAGTGCTTGATACATATGAACTTAACTAATCTGCACATAAAACAGATGAAGCAAGTACTACGGTAAACCATTTTGCAGGCTTAGAAGGTCAAGTGATTGTTCAAGTTCACACAATTAGTGAGGAGCAGTGTTGGGATTTGAAACGCAGCCATCGGTTCCAGGGACCCTATTATTAACTACTTGGCTACATCATCCCTCAAGAATGAGGTAATTTCTCAGTTAAGGTATAAGTGACTTTTTAAATGAATAGAGCGGCTAACACAGATATGCCACATATTCGAAGAGACAACTAACTGTCCTTATACTAAGAAACATGCTTTGGGACAAACGTCCTAGTTTCAAAGGGATTCTCCCTGAAAGCAGACAATAAGGTTTGATGTACCATGCAGACAGACTCCTCATTATGTTTGGGAAGAGGTCAATAACATAAAGACCTTTTCCCTGTTTACTCCAGCATTTCTTCTTTGCTCCCCACATTTCTAATCTGCACTAAGAGCTGCTTCTTATTGCTCGGTTGGGCCCTTCTGTACACTAGTCCTACATGATTTAAGATCCACTGTAACATCTGTGGTGTTGTACCATCGAGTCAGAACTACCCACAGCTGAACCTACAGTGAATTTTCAGAGGCAGTAAATCACACAGGGAGACTGCACATCTCTCTTCTGTGAAGCAGTTATGTGAACCTCTAACCTCTGGGCTGGCCTTACCACTAAGCCACCAGAGTTCCCTAAAATCTGTGTGTTCTATGATATTTGCTAAGATTATGTATGATTTTTTCCCTGTATTCAATGCTTGGACATACTGAAAAGGTACTACATCACCAGAAACCCCTACTGTGTTCTTCACCTTCAGGAAAGCTGAGTTAGTTCTACTCTACTTCTTAACCACCTTTCCAACCTCACCGCCACTGCCTTATCCACAATCACTGTGTTTCACACAGAGGCCATGGCCGTTAATCTCACCTGGACCTGTCCATCTTTCTGTTAACACAACTTCCAGTCCATGAGCAAAAGGATTCTCTAAAATGCACCCAAGTCCTCTTATATTTCATCAACTGTTGTTGGGTGTCATCGAGTTGGAAACGATTCATAGCTGACTCTCTGTGCGGGTTTTCATAGGCAGTAAATCACACAGGAAGAGACTACCCATCTTTCGCTCATGGTGGATCTGAACCATGTGTATCGGGGTTGGTAGTACAGCTCCTTACCCACTCAGCCACCAGCACTCCCTGGAAATCATAAACAGCTTCTCATTTTTTACAAACTCAGACTCCTAATCCTTAGTACTTGAAATCTATTCCCTTTCTTCACGCATGGATTTTGGCCACATGCAGCCATGACCAGGATCTCTCTGCCTGAAAGACATTCATTCCCTGTCTTGTCCTTATCCGCTCCTATTCTTGCCCTTATCAAACTCCTTTTCCTGGATCGAGACTGAGTTCAGGGATTATTTCTTGGCAAATCTTTCCCTTATTTTCCTTTCTAGACAATCTGCCATATTTCTTTTCTAATAGTAGCCATACTTTCGGGGACTTCTTTTACATTTTGCTCTCCCCAGCTACAATGATGGCAGTTCCTTCACTGAGGCTAGAGAAGTTTGTCTTGCATACTCTTTGGCTAAGCATATTGTTGTTGTGTGTTGTACTATTGAGTTGGAATCGACTCACAGCTGACCTCCAGGGGGCTTTAGAAGCAATAAATCACATGGAAGGAGAACGCCCATCTTTCTCTTGGGGAGCAGCTGGGGGATTTGAACGATGTGCTTCAGGATTGGCAGCTCAATCTCTTACCACTAAGCCACCAGAGCTCAAACATGTAGTAGATGCAATAACTTTCTACTAATGAACTTGGTATCAGTCTAATATTATTAATAAAACTCTCTCCAAACTTCCTTCTATCATAAAAAAGGGGGCAAAGGATAATATTCCATGGTAGCAAAAGAATAACACTATTTAGTAACTTCTGATTAATGTCAGGTAACTCCATGCCCTCCCCACCCACTCACTCATTTACAAACATAAAACTATCAAAGTTTTATTTTGGAGGAAAAAAAAAGAGACTGACAAAAACAGTAAATAAATCTTATGTATCTTCAAAAATTCAATTTATACTATTCATACTTTTCAAAATTATCTTTCTATTCATTGTGGTAGATGGATATAAATATTAGTCTATAGCCAATGATTCTAAAAACATAGGCCTGAGTCACAATATTTAGAAAATGATATAAGCAATATATTGAAAATAAGACATCAATTTAATGGTTTTAGTTTTTATTTATATATAACAAGCATTTCAACCATTATTTCTGAGACATGATTCATAAAAACCAATTTTAGTGTAAGGTTCAGAATTAAGTTAGAATGAAATAAAGACCTTTCTATAAACCAGTAAAAAATCAAACTTAAATGATATCCTGTCATGACAGGCTTCCTAGGAAATTATGCTTTTAGATGGCTGAAGACAAGGAAGAAAAATCTCTATTCCTTCTGAAAATGTAAAATAAATCCTTTTAGCCTTATCAGTATTTACAAATTAACATTACTTCATCATTTTTCACAGCAAATAGAGAACAAATTATCATAGGAGAGATTATATGATCCACCTTCAGGATGTTTTATCTCTGTATGTTAAAAAGCACCATTAGTCTAAAATGGATTTTAAAAAATTATTAAATTCTTCGCGTAAACTACGGATTATTTAAAACATTATTTACTAGGAAGCTGCGGTGGCCTAGTGGCAAGAAGCTGCACTCCAATCCCAAAGGTACACAGTTTGAATCCAGCAGATGCTTTGCTGGAGAAGGAGGGGCAATCTCCTCCTATACCAGTCAGATCTGATTTGTACACACATAAAAAATAAAACAAACAAACAAAACCCATTATTTGCTAACTGTAAATAGGAATTTATTATGACAACTTCCAAAATGTCTTTAACTAGGGTTCTATTTAATAAAAAGATAATTTAAAATAGTCATATAACATCTATGAACAATTTCTTTATTTTCTTCATTTGTCTTACTAGATAAAACGTTTTTTAATGCTCAGGAATTGAATGTTTAATATGCATACTTTGTATGTTGCTGTTGTTATGAGTTGTCGAGTTGCCTGCAACTCATAGGAACCCTTCTCTATCCTGTGCCAATCTCACTGTCTCTGATATACCTATCCCCATTACCCTAGTCACTGAATCAATCCATCTCATCAAGGGTCTTCCTCTCCTGTGCTGTCCCTTCACTCTCCCAAGCATGACATCCCTCTCCAAGGACTGGTCCTTTCTTGTAACATGTCCAAAGTATGTCAGATGAAGCTTCAGAATCCTTGCCTCCAAGGAGAAGCCTGGTTTAACCCTCTACAGCATGAACTTGTTTGTACTCTTAGTAGTTCATGGTATATTCAATACTCTCCTCCAACAAGATGGTATAAAGATACTAATAATTTATTTAACGTTATACTACATTAGTAGCAAAGAGGTCAGATTAAGTCCTGGATTTTCTTCCTAAGGGATAAACTTGGGCAAGTTCTTTCACTTCTATTTTGCAATTAAATATTTATTTCTCAATTTCATAATTTTGAAGATAAACTGACCAAACTGTATTTAAAACGCCTCACAATTCTGACATTCAACAAATTCAACTCACTGTGAAAATAACTGACCAAACTGTATTTAAAACTCCTCAAAATTCTGACTTTCAACAAATGCAACTCGCTGTCCTCAAGTCTGAACTGACTCAGCTGACCCTCCAAAAGGCTTTCAGAGGGTGTAACTTTAACGAGATTTCCCAAGGGGTAGTTGGTGAATTTGAACCACTCACTTGTGGGCTGGTAATGCAACTCCCTACTGGTTATTTGGTGTTCCGTCAAATTGGATCCAACTGGCACAGGAGGAGTTTCTCCCTCCTTCTCCAGCGGAACATCTGGTGGATTCAAACCGCACACCTTTGGGACTGCAGTGCAGCTTCATGCCAGTAGGCCATCACAGCTCCAGTTCATTTTTTTTTAAAAAAAAAGGGGCAGGGGGAAAGACAGTACAAAGGAACAGTACTATGAGGTTATATTTCTAAGTTAAACTGCTCTGGTGTAATGTAATGCCAACTGCTATCCAGAAACAGAAAACTCACTTACCTCCAGATTTTGACATTCCTGAGCCGAGTTGGTAGGCAGGCCAATCCACTTGATTTCTTTTTTTTCCTTTGAAATGATGTTCATTGCCATCAGCACATTTAAAGCATCATAAACTCTTCGTCTAATATTCTTCTGATCATAAGCCTGCTAAAAATAGTTGTTTATTGAGTGCTAAATTTTAAGAGTTTATGACATATAAATTAAATAAAATCAGAATCTTCTTCTGTCAAATGGGCCAGGTAACCTAAGAACATTCAATGGCAACACTTTCATAAAACTTTCCTTGCTACAGGTTTATATAAGTTGCATATAACATTGCTATGGAATTAAAAAATGCAAATGGTGTCAAAACTGAAGCAATCTGGTGAAAAACAGAAACCATCAAAATATTTAACTGTAGGAGAAAGAGCTGTTAGCCTGCAATACATTACTCGGGCAAACTGCACATAAACATTACAGGTATTTATGAATAATGACATGGACATTGTTACAATAACATTTTAAATAAAGTAGGAGACACATCTATATTAACATGATTGCAAGTCTATTAAAATTCACAGGAAGGAAAAACTCCATGTTTTTTTCCTTAATTGCTTGCAATATTTTATTATAATAATTTAAAAAATTCCTTCCCAAGTTCTTAAAATTATGATACTAAATTTCAAAGGGAAAATCGGAGTCCCATGGTGATGGTTGAGGGGTACAGAACTCTCAAGAGCAGGATTCTCCTTAATGGGAAGATTTCTATTTATTTACAGTAACAGCAATCATTTTATTATTTAGCACTTACGTAAGCACTCAGCCCTTAACAGAAAATCTGTACCATCAGATCCATGGGCATGAAGATGAGGCAGTCGGCTACTGGCAGCCTTGAAGGCCCTCTGACGCAGCTCCACTCTGTTTAATTGTCAGAACGGCCTTGGCGGCCACGGGCTTGTTTCGGTTTGTGCAATACACACAGCTCTGTCAAGTGGGCAATATGATTGTCCCCATTACGAAGGGGAGTTTTGCTGGTGTTGTCTGCAGTCAGCTGTGCTGTTAACTTAAAGGCTGTGGGGTCTGAATCACTCTGCGTCAAAAATAAGCCCAGGGCTGTTAGTTTTTGTAGGTAAGGAAACAAAGCACAAAAGGAATACAAGATACTAACTACTTAGTACATTTAAAGTGGTCAGTTTTCTTATTTGCAAAAATTAGGGATAAGAATCCTATCTTAGGGAGCTCTAGTGGCAAGAAGTCGCGCTGCAATACCAAAGGCACGTGGTTCAAGGCCACTGCTCCACCGGAGGATGAGCAATTTCCTCCCCTGTGATTAAAAGCCTCTGAAAACCTGCCAGGGGGGTCAGCTACGGGTTGGTTCTGACTCTACGGTACACAACAACAGTATCTTATTTCTTTTCTGAGGCAGTGTTCATTATCTATCCACTCTTTTCCCATTCTCTTCCCATCACCCATGTCATCCGTGCTTTGTAACAGCGGTGTTATGCAGTATTTGTCCTTTTGTGACACAGATATTTCACTCAGGATAATTTCCTCCAGGGTCACCCATGTTGTGTAATATTTCATGAGTTCCTTGTTTTTCAGTGCTGCGTAGTATTATTTGAGTGAATATATCCTATTTTTCTATCCATTAATTTTTTGATGGGCACTGGGGTTGCATCCATCTCTTTGCTAGTGAATAACAGCAATAAAAACGGGTGTGCATACATCGTGGTTCTGGTTTCTTTAGGGTATATTCCCAGTGGTGCAATTTTTGTTGGGTCTATTTCCAACTTTTTGAGAAAGTACCAAACCGCCTTCCACAGAGGTTGTACCCTTTTGCAATCCCCTCAGCAGTGAATTAGGCTTCCAGACTGTCTATAACGTCACAAACATTTGTTGTTTGCTGCTCAATAGTTACTCTGCTATAGTTGCTGGGTTGAGATGTTATCTCATAGTTGTTTTGATTTGCATCTCTCTGATAGGTAGGGATTTTGAACATTTCTTCATGTGTTTGTCTGCCACCTGTATGTCTTCTTTCGTGAAGTGTCTGTTCATATCCTGTGCCCATTTTGTGACTGGGTTGTTTACCTTTTTCTTGTTGAGATGCTTTAGGTAGGAGTCCCTTATCAGATATGTCATTACCAAATATTTTTCCTCCAATCTACAGAGTTCCTTTTTACCCGACTGGAGAAGTTTTTTGACACGCATAGGAATTTGATTCTTAAAAGGTCCTGTTCATCTATTTTGTTCTCTCCTGTGTAGGACAATTTACACTTTCAATGGTATAAATGCACATCACGTGTTTACTGCTGCATACAAGATAGGATGGCCCCTATCTATAGATAGCTCTTGGGTGGTTCCTTAAATAAAGCAGGACCATCAAAACGTTACACAACTGAATTCTATTATCTCAAGCTCCAGAAAAAAATGGGCCTTTTTGGTGGTTGTGTTGGTTTTTTTTAAACTCACTGTTCTTCCAATATAAGGTCTTGATGTTTTATCCAAAGATGTTACAAGAAACAAACATATGAAATTTACTCTCTACTTCCAGCAACAGAAACTCAAGAAATCGGAAATGCTTTGCCCCACTAAAACACTATGAACCATAATAAATATCTAATTGCATATGTAATTGTAAGGAATGTTCTTAAGGAATAAAGAATGAAGACATAGAGGGCAGAGGAAGGAAACGATTAGAAAGTGGTACGAAGAAAATTTCCAGGGTCCTAGGAATGCTCTCCATCTTTACAGGGGTTTGAGTTATACACTGGCTTATTCGTTGCAAAAAATCAAACAATTCACGAAGGATTTATTCATTTGATGAAAATTTTACCTTGGTACACAGACACTGACCTTCAGTTAAAGGAATGATGTGCACCTCACAGGAGCCCTGGTGATCCAGTGGTGAATCTCTGGCTTTGAAGCCACCACGTGCTCCACAAGAGCAGGATGTAGCAGTCTGCTTCCTTCAGATTACAGCTCTGGAAACCTTATGGAGAATTTCACTGTCCTATCGAGTTGCTAAGGCGTCAGGTATGTCAGAGATGGTAAGGCTGGCTCAGGATAGGGCAAGGTTAAGAGCCGCTGTTTACAGAGTCGTTATGAGTGGTTGTTAACTTGATGGCACATAACAACAATAAAACAGTTTCTAGGAGCTAGAATTACTCTGTCTGGCAAATCAAACTCATGCTCTAAGCCTTTCCTCATGGACCACCCTGCGAGAAGTCAAGTAGTCGTAATTGTAGCCTGTCCTGTACTTCACTGTCCCAACGAGTCCTATCCATGCTAATACACTGTAAGTTGGACACACCTGTATTTTCCAGCGAATTCATAGTCTCCATTTATTCATTATCGGTAATTTTGGTTTAAAATTTGTTTGTCTGCTAGACTATAAGGCTACAATGAAAGAGACCATTTCTTAAATATT